CCCTTACTTTTTTGACCGGTGGGGTGATAGGAATTACTTGAGGTCATGTTTGTGAAAGTTGGCCAGCACTTGAGCCTAATCAATATATCTATTCCCCCTCAATCCAGGTTGAATATCCAATTTAAATAATCCTCTGACTTTTGGCTAAGTTCTGACTTAGGTAATTATCCCTTCTTTCCCTTTCTCCATGTTCCCGTAAGGGCCTAACTGAGACAGTTTTAATTTTCAGAAAACAGCAGGAAAAAAGCCCGTATTCTTATAAGCCAGTATGTTTTTCTGATAGTGTGCTGTGTTAAGTAATATGTACCAAGGATCAGTTCTTACCCGGAAGATTTTCCGAGTACTTTGACTCATCTTTATTTGTCTGTGTGAAACCAACTCATAGGTTTTATTCACAAGAAAAAGGAAATAGTCACCATGAAAGCTAGATCCTGTGATCCCTGCATGTGGTTTGAGAATGTAGGGGCTAAAGACCCCTCCATTGAATTCTGTAGCCTTCTTTCTTTGATACTCTTATCTCTGCAGAAGACCTCCTTTACAGCTTCTATTTGACTAAGAAAATGATGTGTCTTTCCCCTTGACTGACGCTTAACAGTGTTTCGTTTTGTTTTTTATCATAAATTGTCTATGTCAGGCCCTGGGGTTAGCAGTGGTGGATTCCTGGAAGCTGAGATGATCTGTTCTTCCTTGGCAGCAGGAGGGAGGGAGGAGGAGATCAAATGCCTGATAAATACCTTCTGAGTGGCTTAATCTTATTCATTGTCCAGAAAAAAGGTGATTGGCAATGGAAACAGAAGCCCAAAACCAAAGCTGAAGCACCTCAAGAGCCAGACTCTTCGGAGGAGTGGGAGGAGAGGAAGTACCTAGTGGCTCAGAGGTGAGTTGAGGTACTTCGGTTCCTACTGGTACTCCTGAGGAAAATTTCAGGAAGGCTGTTGCCGAATTTTTCTTCAGGTTTGGTAGGTTCTCACTGTTCTGAGACATTACCTTTGCATTTGAGCAGTGGCCAATTGAAAATTCACTCCATCGAAGACTCATTGCTTCCATTGAGGTTTATTTTAAATAGGCTGACCTCTAACAACCTGGTAGCAGATTTACAAAAGGGATATCCACATTATCTAAGGAGTTGCATCCCACCTCTTCCATTTGACACACTCTCTCTCTCTTTCTCTCTCTCTATCTATCTTTCTCTCTCTCTCTCTTTTCTAAACTTCAGGACAGTATTACCCAGAGCATTTAGCTAGTGTATAGACTTTTCTAAGTTCCTAATGGATGTAACAGAAAAATGCCAGGGGGAAGGAAATGGATGGGAGTGGGTGTTAGGTTTGTAGTCTTCAATTAACTTTACTTGTCCACTCATCTGCAGTAGCTTTGGAAGAATCTTGAGCCTTGTAACAAGCTCATGATAGTCTCGTCTTAAACTATTTGATAAGGAATGTCTTACCTCACAGAGCAATTGTTATGTTTGGAGAGTTTCATTTTTGGAAGGTGTTTCTTCCCCTTCCTGACCTCCTAAAGATAGCTAGATTCTGCAGATGTCCTGGATTAAAAACCAGAAAAGCTACCAAAGTGTTCATTTAAAAATCCATATCCAGTGTTTTAAAGTATGAATAGTAAATGCCGTTAGGATTACGTAGAGTTAATTTTATGTGTATTTGCAATTTTGACCTCTTTCTCATTTGTGTGAACAATCAAACTTAGTGAAATCAGGATCAGAAAAACCTCACATTTACATTGGTAATAAGACTAGCTGGATCTCTTTATTTTCCTTAATAATCTCTGAGGGTGACTCCTCCTAAAGAATTTATCTCTTTCAATGTGCGTCGTGTCTGATTCTTGGCCCCATAAATACTTATACCCATTATGCAGTCTCAGGTTCTAATCCCAGGTAGTGTATAGGCACTGTGCTCTGATGTGTGTCAGGTGTCAGTGGGAGCACAGTACAAAGCCTCCAGCAGAGTGGGGCCTGTGGGCAGCACCTTTCACCTGCTCTGTGGTTATGTAGAGCAGATAGCACCGCAGACATGACTACAGATAGAACCATAGTCACGGCCACATTTGCTACTTGCTGCCTTGCTTCTTACTGAGCACAGGGAGGTGGGAGGGAAACTTAGAGATAGCCTTACTTGCAGTCCATAGTAAGAGGCTGGTAGAAAAAGAAAGGCAGTTTATCTTTTATGCTGGTTGACCCTTTTAGATATATATTTCACCTATCAGTCTTTTCTTGTACTGGGGTTTTCTGGGAGGGTTATAGATCATTTCTTATTCCTCTTTGTATCTCTGGCTCCTAGCACAATACCTGGAACAGCAGGCTCATTGATTTTTGAACAAATGAAAAAAGAGTCATGTGCTTTTAAGGCTATGTAAAGTGTGCCTTCTCACATAAGCATTGGCATAGACCTACTCAAAACAGTTCTTATTAGACTAAGACATTTAATGTTGCCTTCTATTTCCTCATTGCAATATTGTTTCTCATTTGGATCTATCCCAGATATTAGAAGTCTCTTCAGAACAATGTCAGAAAGTACAATTTTCTTTGGGATTTTTTTAATCTGTTTAGTTTTTCACGTGAGATTTTTAATCTTTTTCTTTGAAGGGATCCACACAGTTTAACCCACAGGAGGTAGACGACATAGGCACCAAAACTAATGATTCTCCAGTGAACACACTGAAAACTCTGGAGGAAGAACAGCTAAACACTCTGCATCTTCAAAATCAGGAGGAAATATCAAAATACCAGGTTGCCAAGTCAGACAATAAACAAAAACAAAAAATGAAGAAAATAACTAGGGATCACTTACATAAATCTTCCCACTGCCTTAGGGAAGAAAATTTAAGGTGTTCACCTAGAGAACAGAGAACTGGAACATTATTAGGTGATGATGAATATGAATACAGTTTGTTTTTTGAGCGTAACTCCTTGGAGATTACAATAATTAAAGGTCAGTCTCTTGAAAATAAGGACCACCACGGTTCTAGTGAATCTGGTTCCAGATTATCTGGGAGAGGCCATGGCAGAAAACTTAAGATCTATGAAACAGATGCATTTTTTGACTATCTTTTCAATTATTATGAAGCTCCACAATATACTCGTATCTGCCTAGAAACAAGTCCTGCAGCAGGCACACGTCAGTGGCAGAGGGATGTCCAGGCTAAGGGAGATGGATTTCAGATTAGTTTGAGAAAGTGTAGGCACCGCTCAATCAATTCAAGCCAAGTGGAAAACCTGGAAAGGGAAAAACAGGTTCAAGAAGATGATTACTCATCAAAGATTTGTACTCAGGATCGTGAGCATAAACAAGGAAATGTGGATTATGCTAGAGAATGTGCTAATGGGTTTAATACTCATTACCAGGAGACAGCCCATGAAGCTGGTGATCAGCTGTCCCCAACTGATGGAAACAGCTGTCTGTTAGAAAAGACTCAAACTTACCATATTGAAGATTCCAAATCCACAAGGAAAAGCCAAGTGTCTCCACCCCAGAGGTCAACAGGCTTAGGTTTACAGTTGACAGATTTCTTAGAGGATATTAGTAGTGATTCTGAATGCTTCAGTGAAACCCTTAGCATAAACAAAGAGGAGGAGACATCTGTGGCCACATTTAATAGTTTCTCAGAAAAAGAACCTCTTTATACTGACAAAATGATCACTTGCAAACAAGATACATGGTCAAGTCAGCAGACCTGTTTTTCAAAGTGGAAGCGTGATGGTGAGGGAAAATACTCTAATTACAAGTTTAGGACCCCAGGCAGGAAGTTTAGGTATGAACCAAGATGGAGATTTTCATGGCATAGGGGTGAAAGTAATTTCATTAGACATGAAAACAACAATGGCCAAATGAAAAAACAGCTAGCCCCTAAATACTCGTTTGATGAAGGCTACTACCAGGAACCCTGTTCCTATTATCTATTAGAGGATGTTACAAGAAAGAGGATGAGGTTTAGTGATAGTATGTTTGACCAGCAAGTGAACTACGGGCCCTTTCAGGTGCCTGTAGCATCATCAATAAGTGCTAGCTCTTTCTATTTTGGTGATTTTCGCAGAAGAAGGACTCCTTGGAAGTTAGAATATAACCAGAATGCAAGAAAGTTTAGAGGAGCTAACTATTTCAAGTTCAATTCTAATTATAGCAGACATAATGATCAAGAGTATTTTGACTATGGAAGCTATTCAGGAAATAACTATACTGGTCCTTTAAATTTTAAGTGTTTTTATGGCCACTTAGGTCAAGAGTATCCTTTTTCACAATAAACATGTTACAAGAAGAAAATTTAAAACCAAATATAGCCATATAATTAACAACTACAGAGCAAGAGAGCAGCATTTAAAAGCTTCAAAACCTGGGTGTTTTATATTTCCAAAGCTTGCCAACACACCTGGAGCCATTTTGACCTATGCTTTAAATTTTGGCAAGAGAAATAATGTTTTCTATTTGACTCTGCTGAAGCTTTTAAATGCTGCTTGATCCAAGGACAGACATTTCTACAGTTCAACTAAAAATTTAATTCTGTGCCAGTCAAGGAGCAGATTAACATTGAGAGGGGTTGAGATGGCCCTCTGTGGTTTCTTAGCTATTATAACATCATCATTTAGTATCATTTATCTCCAAAGACGACAACAGTGTATGAAGAACGATCTTTTTACATGTTCTTTGATTTGGTCAGAAACACCATATGCAGCAACAAACTTTCCTGAGTTTTATTTAGAAATAATTGTAGATAAAAGAGATAGCAGAACATAGATTTCTTCATGACATTAAAGAGTTGCATGAGCACCTACCAAAAGAAAATTGATTTTATTACTACAATTAAATACACAAAGAGTTGTCTTTTTCAAGACAAAGTCTTAGAATAAGAATATAAAAGTGGTCCAGATTGTCCTTTGAGGTTTAAGTGGATAGTATTTAAATCCATTAGCAGGGTTGGGTTTTTTTTTTGTTTTTGTTTTTTTTTTTAAGAAGACCATGGCTTTCCATTTTAGAAAAACAGCAGGATTGAAATGATATAACCAGTGGAATTTGCAAAAGAAAATATTAAAAAATTGTGAGGCACTAGTCATGTCACTTGTGAAAAGACGGGATGTGACAGTATTCTATTTCAGGTTATGTAATCCTTTCACTCAGGGCTTGGTGACCGCAGTTTGTAAAAAGTCATTGAATATCCCCCAAACTGAACTTTATTTTTTTTTAAACAACACCACCTAAGTATTTATTGGTCACATTACTTAAGTCCAAAAGTAAAGTGGTCTTTGGATAGGATTTGATCTGAGTTCTAGCTGTTTTTCTGTAATTTTCCATTCTAAAGAATCACTAAAGCAAGAATCTGGTCAAATCCAAACTGAACTTTATTAAGCAGTAACAAATGCCTCTCTTCTCAATCCTCAGTAATGCCATAGAGTTTTTAGAGTCAAGAGAAAAGCCTATAGTTTTGTACCTGGGGAAAAATGTATATGTGTAGAATTTGTAAACTCTTAAGCAATTGATCCTTTTACCTACTAGTTTTTGACTTCATAAATATTTTTAAATTGAGATATTTTATGGATTCTGGAAGACTTACATCTTAGTGCAGTGCAGGTTCCATAGAAAGCTCAGCTGATTCATTCTGCCTTACCATGCATTTAGGACCCCAGGGGCAATAGATTACCTTTTTTTTTCTCCAACAAAACTATGCCTGACCTGGTAGTTGAAGACATTAATGACATTAGAGACTGTCAGCAACAGGAAAAAGTGATTTTTAATCCACAGAAGCAGTAAAGGGCAAAACTTTGATATGACATGATTCATTCAAACACTCTTCATCTGATATTATGTAGAAAAGTACCAGCTGGAATATCCAGGTAGAATGCCAGTCATTGTGGTTGCCCAGAATATCACAATGTGTACTCATAACCAGCCTCTTGAGCAACCTGGTATGTGAAAGGGCTACGAAGTCTTATTTATCTTAAGGAAGAGCCACAGTTTCATCGATGTCTTCTAATCAGAGCTGTTAGTACATGCAAGAACTCAGAAATGAATATACCATAGCAGATGATGTTTATTATTAATAACCAGTGGATGATGTATTGGCTCCCTTGTGTTGTTTCACTTTCAAGCCAGTTACTCTTCCATCAAAACTAGATTTGGCTTGTCAAATCTGAAAAACATTGCTCATGGGGCAAGTGCCTTGATTGTTAATATTCAAAGTACTGTACAGAGTAGCCTTTTAAACTACTAACAGCTTGTATTTTGTCAGGCAACTTTCAGTAAACCAGGTATTATTTTCCTTTGACAGAAACCTGCCTCTTAATTTTTCATGTTTCATGCCATTAAAGAATATTACAAGATTGTAATGAGAAACAGCTATGCTTGTTTTGAAAGATCTCTCTCTTCTGTCACTTGACTTTTCATTGTAGAGTTTTTAGACGTGAAAACAGTTTGCTGCTCAGTAGTCAGACATAAAAATAAATTGTAGGTTACATGATGTGCAATTTTTATGTGTAATAAAACCGGTGCTAAGTCATTTCTATATAACATTTTTGTCTTGTTTGTTAAATCATCCTGGGACTTAGAAGAAAGTAAAAATACTGGTTTTATGTTTACATTCTGTATAACCCTAGATTTTTATATGTCTTATGGTGATATATTCTAAATTCGAGCCAACTTTTTTGATGTGTAGGCCTTAAATGAGGAAGATGACATCCTGTACTTTTTAATTGATTGGCTTAGGAGCAAAACAGAACTAAAATATTATAACCACCTTCTTAATTAAAGGTGTTATTCTTTGTTTTGCTAAGTGGTGCAAAAGTATTTTCTCGCATCTTCTTTTATGTCCTATTCTATGTCCCTGTGCCCTAAAGTTCATAGGGATGTGAACTTTAAACTTTGTGTTTTAAGTAGGTATTTTCATGTATGGGCTGCTGGTAGTAATGTAAAAAAGCTAAAAATATGTCAATGTGTTTTCAGTGTGTTTAAATTTCTCAGGTAGAAAGCCATGTAACCTGGTAATTTTGAAAATAAGAACCAAATAAACATATTTTTACTTATTGCAAACTGTTTAAAATATTTATTTTTAAATAAATGCTGGTAGAAAGTTTGGGGGAAAGTTTCTACTTACAGTATGCTGTTTTGCACTAATATTGCTGATCTCTTTTCTCATTTGCATTGTTAGAGAAATAATACATATTTAATTTTCAGATATATTAAAAATAAAATAGTGAATATTCTTTGTTCATTTATCACATGTATTGGCTAGCATCTTGCACATCCACAATAACATTTTCTGTGGAAATATAGATGCCTAATTTTAGTATCGTTTCTATGCAACTTTTCCCATTTTGTGGAAACTGACATTGTCAGAGTTCATGGGACAGCACATTTTATCAGTGCTAATAAGAGGTAGCAAAATTGACTCCATGGAATTTCATCTGATTCCTTCGGCCCCAGGTGGAAGTGTTAAAGTTATACAGTATCAAAAAATAATTGTGGGTTTGTGATGGGGAGTCTAGTCAGAGAAGCTAGAGTCCTCAATAATCAGTCTTTGACCATTCAAGAGTTAACTCTATTTTCACGTGAAATATATAGCAAACTGCCTCTAAGTATTACAACAAAGGCAGCTGTACCTTGGAGTAAAATCTGGGCACTTTAGAGCTGAAAGGGTCTTTGTCAGGTTCAAAGAGCTCTTTCTGAAACAGCAAGAAATGTATGGATGCTTGCTCTTGATCTAGGATTTGCATAAATTTGGCCCTCTGAAGCAAGGTGAATGTTACATTATGCAGGGAAGCCAGATAGGCAGATACTGAAAACATAATAGTGAATGCTGCTTATGAACCACAGATGCTGGTACTGTAAGTCTCTGCAGCTGGTAGGATGAGAGCAGGTGGGGAGCAAACCAGATGTTAACACCTCCCTCCTTCACTGGACATGTGGTGGTTTAACAACTACCCCTGGACACCACCATCTTCTTGAATGGCAGTGCCTTTTACATGAATATGGCTTATGTATATGCTAGCTGGATTTGAGAAATGTTTAGATCAAAGTCCTGCCTTACAGCAATATTCATTTACAAGTAACCAACACAATGTTGATTCAGCTCGGAATGGAGGAGAATCAGGTTATTGGGAGTGAAGCTTTAATGAAGCTCTAGATCAGGGGTGTCGTCTAATCTCTTTGCTTCCCTGGATCACATTGGAAGAATTGTCTTGGGCCACACATAAAATATACTAACAACAGCTGATGAGAAAAAAAAAAAAATTCTCATGTTTTAAGAAAGTTTACAAATTTGTGTTAGGCTGCATTCACAGCTGTCCTGGGCCACATGCAGCCCATGGGCCATGGGTTGGACAAGCTTGCTCTAGGTATTTTCCTCTTGGCAGCAGACAAGCCTGTTTAATTTTGCAAAATGAGTAGTCTAATCTTCACATGCACATGAGATTTTAGGCTGCAAAGGTGGGCCCAACTTCTCTCTCCAACTCCTTCTCCAATGCATAAGGCATAGCAAGTTACATGGTACAAAACAGGCACTCAAACATTTGGTGAATGAAACCCAGTGGCGAAAGAAAAGCACATTAAAAAAAAAAAAACACCTCACAAGTACATGAAATGTGGTTTGATAACATGAAAAATGGAAATTTCTTTGGTTCAGGGAGTGTATCTCTTGTAAGAAAACTCTGCCAATGTTAACATTAAAATGACAAAACACTAATAAGTTGTCTTCATTTATACAACTGACTGCATATGCAAATCTGTTATCCTTCTTTTGACATGAGGTGAATTAACTTTGTTACTATAAGGATTCCTGATACTTTCCTGATCAGACAATACATTAACATAAAAAAAACCCAAAACCCTTCCTTAGCACTTGGCAATGACAATGCCTTCAGTAACATTACTTCTTAAGAACCTTGCTATAGACTTCAAGGTGGAGGTCTGCCATTTACAGTTTAGAAAGTTCTGATTTAGGCAAAATTTTGACAAGTCACAAAAAAAAAACACTTCAATTCACTATTTCTTAATAGGACAAGCTGGCATTTGGTTTGTGGTATAAGGTCTCCATAAAATTTTGCTGCTGCTTTTGGAATACAAAAACTCTGCACTCAAAAGTAAAACTGGATTTTAGGCCACAGTAAAATGACTGAATCAGATTCCCTAGAATAAAGTTTTTTAAATAATTTAAATAAGTCACCACACTATAGTGGGTAAAACCATTTTTATTAACTGACCAAAGCACATCATTTTGTTTTCTGATTTGAGGGAAAATCATTAAACACAGTTCACAAGAAAATACAACGACTATTTAACTACAATTACAAGAGTTTGAAATCTCACTAGTTGTTCACATAATACTTTTACAAATTCATACAACTGTATAGTCTACTTAAGCATAGTGTTAACCAAAAGAGCAATATCAAAGACTGAGACACTTGACTACTACTTTTACAGTGGGTGTAGTTTTATAACAACAACAAATGTTACCTTATGAATATGTTTTACTTTAAAAACGACTAGGCTAGTTGACTGTACTGTTTCCTTGTGGTTCAGGGGTGTGCATGAAGGCTCTTAGGAGAGCAAACACCTGTTCCTATTCTGTATGTCCCTCTCTCATTTTCACACGAGAATAACCAGTTGAGTAAAATAACCAAATAACCATTGCCTCACCATGAACATGAGGCTTGAGAAGACAGTCCTACAATCTTCATCATATATTTAGGTTTTTAGGCCAGCAAGCTTTTTACCAAAGCTTTCTTTTGACTGTTCAGATCCTATTTTAATGCTAACTATATACTACTGTGTGTGTGATGGTGTCTGAGTGTCTATGTGAGGGCAAGGACAACAATGCAGTCCAGAAACACAGTAAATATGCTTTTTTGCAGCTGAGCTCTGTTTTGAGATTTCATTTTGTTGCTGGACAGCTTTTTAATCAATACCAAAGTCTTTGGAACACTGCAGATTTGCTTTAGAGGTAGATAAAACAGAAATCATGCAGTTAAGTCAATTGAGAGAAAAAAAGGATTTGCTGTCTTTAGAGAACATCATGACTAAAAGTTGATCCTTTGCTCTCGGTGCACATTTCAGATTTTTACCTGTTTTGGGAAATACCCAAGTCTTCCTTGTCTCTCAGGAAAAACACGTTTAAATTCATCCTGTACTAACTACAAGTAGAAGAAAAACAGTATTAACATGTGTATTACAGCACTTCAGTTCACTTCCTGGATTTGTGACACACAAACACATCATGCATTCTAAGACGAAGTTAATTTTATTAGTGTCACTAGTGATGTTAATTTAAAAACGTATAGCAAGTGTTTAAAACTTTTCTAAATATTGTAATCACTATGTTTTAAAGACAGAGTGGACTGTTACAAATGATTTTGCAAAATACAAAAATAGATATACTTCCACTGAATGCTTTAATCATTTTTCCGAGCACTCTCATCTTTTGGTTCTTCCTCATCTGAGTACACAGTGGGCTCCTCCCCCTCCTTCAGCAGTTTGCCCACGTGATGATACTTGACTGGAGGTAGAAGAAAACACAAACGGTCATTCTCATTCTTTCTAAAACATCATTACCACATTTCAATTTAAAGCATTTATTAGAGGCCTACAATATACTCAGCAATCTGTTGGGCTTCTTGAAGGATACAGAGGTGGTTTATACCACCGTCCTTGCCAACAGGGAATTCGTTTTGTACAGAAGCCAGACACATAAAACAGGTGGCAATGTCTGGCAAGAGTGTGTAAGGTAATATCGAAATGAATCGTTTGTGTGTAGAGAATGTTTAGAAGAACAAGGGCATGTTATAAGTTTGTTAGAAGGGTTATAGAACACTTCATGGAAGGAGGATATATTTTGGAAAAATGTAAAGGATTTAGGGAGCAAGTTCCAGAAAATTAAAATACCATGTACAAATGCATGCAGGTGAGACAACATATCTGGGAAGCAATAAAGAGACCAAGTTGGCAGGAGTAGAGTTAACATTTATAAGTTAGTAGAAGATAAGATTGGCTAAGTAGTGTGGGGAAATGTTATGAAAGATCTGAAAAGCCAGCCTGAGGAGTTTGGACTTACTGGTGGCAAAGGGCACTGAAGGTTTATAAGCGAAGGAATGACAAAGTAAAATAGTGCTTTAACAATAGTATCAATGTGATGTATGGGGCAGATTTCAGTAAGGAGAGACTGGGAACAGGATGATCTGGAGGCTAGCGTGCAGATCCAGGTGCAAAGGAACCAGAGCCAGGAACAGGGTGGTGTCCAGGGGAATGGAAAGGGAAGGATGTGTACTTTGCAAGAAAACTGGAAGAATGAGTTAATTAAGTGAAAACGAGCTCCCATAGACCAAAATGGGCACTCTGTGGAGGGAGCCATTCTGGAGGGTCACGTGACAGGAGATCTACAACATGGAATGGGACAAGTGAAGTCAGGATTGGCAAGGAAAAAAAAAAAAGGTTTCCCCAGAAATCTTTCAAAAAGAAAGTTCAATCCTATTGTGGGGATAGAAGCCATATCGTAGGGAGGAAGAAGGTGTAGAGAGGAAATGAAGTAGTTAGCGATAAAAACTTACAAGAAGTTTGTTTGACAGTGAAGGGCAGGAAAAATAGTCTCATAGATGAAGAGGATAACAGGAGACAGAATGTTTTTCCCAGCACAGAGAAAAACCTATGGGTGGCTAAAGGAAGTGGTAAAGGAGCCAGGATATGACTGGAGGTGTTAGAGAAAACAGATGTAAGGGTGCAAACCAGAATGCAAAAGACTTGAGATGGCATCAGCAAACCTCCATATCACTGTAGCCAAACTAATGCAGGGTCGATCATCTGAATATCCGAAGCCAAGAGTCTCCTATTCCTGAATATGAGTAGGAATTAGAGGAGTAACCAACCTGTCTAACCAGGTAACTAAAGCTGCTTTTGTGTGAAATAACCATCAGGAACAACTAGAACTGTACAAGACAAATAAAAGCCGGGTGGTGCCTGGGAAACCTGCCTTAAGGGGAATCCACACCAGCTTTGAGTGTAGCTGAGGTGTCAAAACAGCAACTGGGGCCAGCCTTA